GGAAGCTGTTATTCAGGCTTTAGTGATTTCTAAAATGGCTACTAAATCATCTTAAGCAAAGCACTTTCTAGATTCTTTCTAAAACGTTTGCTTCTGCAGTGTTGTTCATTAAAAAAAAAAATTGTGCAGAGACCTGGGTCTGCAAGTTTTGACTATTTAAAGGCTGTAAAACAAGTGAACCAACTAGCTCAATGCCATCCAGTCAGTGCTGACTCACAGTGACCTCTGTTGGGTTTCCAAGGTGGTAAATCTTTATGGAAGTAGATTGCCCTGTCTTCCTTCTGCAGAGCGGCTGGTGGGTTTGAACTGCCAACCTTCTGACTATGCCTTAGGCACTATGCCACCAGAGTAATAAGGCTAATTAAAAGTCAAAGAGAGTGCTGTCTTTTCTTAAAGGCACACTTCTAAGAGGAGTTCCTGTATTTACTGGTTTATTTGGTGAAGAACAGTTTCTAATGAAATGGGGGTTTGTAGGTTATTTGCAGCAAACTTAAGATTTAACATGTAAAATTAATTTCCACTTTCTGCTTTCATTGATCCTTCTAGGACAGTCTTCACAGGCAACAAAGTGACTCAACTGAGGTTTCACTTTTTAGTTCTTCCTTTCCCTACCTATTGTTGATATTAACAATCCCCCCACCCACATCCCCACAAGAAACCAAAGAAATGAGGACAAAAATAATTCAACAATGAACTACCAAGAGATAATTATACATGATTCTGTTTATGATTAATAGCAAAAGCATTAACTGGTTGATTTACACTGGGAATCAGAGTATCAATCTAATCAGTCAGATCCTATAACTTCATACTACTATTAAGGTGAAGGTAATTCCAGAGTATTATACTGCCCAAGTGTTATTTCTCATTAAAGAATTTTTTTTTTAATTCCCCTCAAAAGCTTACCTATCACTGAAACAAACACCTTTTCTTAAACCCACTTATTATAATATACTAAAAATTTCTAAAGTTTTTATACACATTAAGATGTATTTATGTTTCTGTGCTTCACTCTAGGCTTCTGGGTACACTGCAATGATTCCAAGCTAAGCATGTGCACTATGGATGAAGTATGCAAGGCCCAAGCTTATATCTTGTTTTATACCCAGCGAATTACTGAGAATGGATATTCTGAACTCTTGGCTCCAGAGCTCCTGTCTAGTAGCCAACACCTCGATGAAGAAGCTGAAACCTCTAATAATGAAATCTTTAGTTGATGCAAAGATAGTGGGGCTTTCTCTTGTGATTTGTAATATATACTTTTTTAAAGGGCTGACTTACAATTTTGAGCTTCATTGTTCTTATTTTTTTACTTTCAATCAGTGCACACTATGTATCTGCATTTTGTCTCTGGCTACAACACAACTCTTTTTTACAAAGTTAGTATAAATACATGTGTATCAACAGGAGGTAACTAAACTTTCCAAAGTACTTGAGAGTTTTAAACTTTTAATCTTACCTCAAACTGCTGTTACCTCTTTTATATTTTGATGTCTTAATTTGCTCAGATCATGAATTTGTGCCATTGTCTACCAAAGTTCAGATTGCATCATTTTATATACATTTGTTACTTATCTTTTATAACTTTTCTATACAGATTCTGGAAAATTAGATACTTTCTTCACTAATGCAGTCTTACCAAAAGAAAAAAAAGGCATTTCTTTCAGGCCTTTTGTATACTGAAGTCACCTTGAAGATTTGAGTTAAACCACTAAATTCAAAGTGTAATATCACGGTATCACCTACTCGTCAATCACACTCATTGAAAATTCCTGGAACTTTGTATATTTTAGGGCAAATACCAGACATTACTTTGGCTAATGCAACTTCATTTTTTAAAAATTAAGCTTTAATAATTGTTATCTGGCAGTCAAACTGTACTCTTTCCAAATGAAAATGGCAGCTTTATAAATGGTATATTTAAGTGAACTTCAATACTATGGACATGAAAAAATGATGGCTGGGTCTTAAAATGATGGTGTGTCTGACAGCAAATAGGTTTGTCTAGATTCTAATAAAGCAGTCATATCAAAAATTAGTAACAAAAAATATATTATGTCATATAAATATAGTTTAACTTTGCAATAAAGTCATTTATATATTTAAGATTAGCTCTTAAGAAAACTTTGTACCACATTGTTTGAGATTTATAGTTCAAATGAATAAAACTGTCTTGAAGAGAAAATTGCATAGGGCAGAGAAGATAAATTGTTCAAAACTAGAAACTGGGCAACATGTCAAGCATCTTATTTTTCTAAATAAAGTCTAGATTCCTCACTTTTGCTAGGATTATGTGAGTAATAGAAGGTGTGAGCATCACAGGTATTCAAGCACACTGGGCCCCAACAATTAAAAAGGTATTGAAAATGATCTAAGCAAGTATCCTGTTAAAGAAAAAACATGAGGCACTCTTTACACTCTTCACTAATAATCCTACTAGATCTCTTCAAAGTAAGTCCTACATGCTGCTAACTTAAACTTACTTGAAAAGGGGACAATCCACTAAGCTCTGCAGATCATAGGTAAGCTATGTAACAGCTCAATGTGGTTTGTCTGCAGGCTGAAATCTTGAAGATAATATCCTATAGATACTGTTCACTGTTAGTGATTGCCTCTAAGTACAAACTTGAAAAGGCCTTCTGTGGGCAAAATTTCAGGAAATAAATCATTTGAGGCAGCTAATAGCGAAGTGCAATGAGAATGTGTACAGACAAATCATTTGTGCCAAAAATACAGCTCAAGTATAAAATGGCTGAGGTGTACAATCGTTCTTTTACTAAACACCTATGCAAGTTGTTACCTCAAATATATTATACCTCATTAAAGATTTATGTGGACAAGATACGAGTATAGCCTTTATTTTCAAGGACTTTTTACTTACTTTGCCATGTATTTTAGCTTGTGAAAGTCAATACAAATACTCCTCACTTATCAACTATACCATTACCCAACATTTTGCATTTATGACAATAGTAAAAATCTATCCAGCTATTTTGCACATTAATGACTTAAGTGTGGCAATAATGAACATTGGTATGAGATGAAAGTAACGCTAGCTGTGACGGTTGTGTGTCAACTTGTTTGGGTTATGAATCTCTGGTTTGGCAATTATGTAATGATGTAGTCACCCTCCATTTTGTGATCTGATGTGGTCATCCATTATTTTCATAACAGCCATTTAGTCTTTGGAATCTAACCATGTTGATAAGTGAGGAGTGAGTATACTAATTTTTCTTCTCTTAGCATCTAAGTTTCACAGCCGTTTTTAAAACAACTCTTGAGAAGCTATGTTATCATAATGGTATAGTTGCTTGTTTCAGTGTTTATTTCAGTGTAAAAGTATATAGAAAAAATATAAACATGAATTAGTCCTTTAATCTCTTAAAACTAATACCTAGAGAGTGAATGGAAACTTACAGATTTCTTACTGCACATCTTAAATCTCAGGACAGACTTCTACATTCTGCTAAGTTAGTGATCTAACAAAAAACAACGTGTTTTGGTTGTAAAATAATTTACTAAAGGCACTATTGTTAAACATCAAACTAATAATTTGTTACCAATAAAAGGTACATTATTGTAAACATGACAAAATGATTTCAGATACATGGCTAGTAGGTGAACAATACAATTTTTTTTAAGCAACAGCTTTCCTATTTACAAGATCATATCCCTTCCAGCCATTCCAGGGGCATGTACTGATGCTAATGCTGCCAGCAGTTACCTGGGAAGGGAACTTGGAGTTGACAATTGGTTTGAGATCCCTACTTCTGAAAAGGTCTCATGAAGCGCCAAAATTCTTCATTCACAGGGATCAATTTTGAGTTCTTAGGCTTAGAAATCCAGAGAGTTCCCGTCTACCTCCCCACCAAAAAGGTATGGACTCAAATCCCAACCCCACAGGAGCTAGCTGGAGGGCCCAAGTTCTATAACATGTCCAGGCATGAATCAATGAGTTCTGCCACTAGTGCAGCATCACAAAAACTGCAGAAGTAATTGGAAAGTAGCTATTGAACATTAGCACCATAATAACCATGGCTCATATGCCTAAAAACTAGATTGTGTATCCCACAAGGTAACATTCATAGGTAGCTCTGATGCTGAAAGAACAGCTTTTTAATGTAATAAAGGATCGAGTTACAGAAATCAGGTTTCTTTTTGTGAGAAAGAATGTTCAACAAAATACAAACTAAACAGCATCCCAGAGGCAATAAAATCTTTTTGTGCTAACGCGTACAAATTAAGGCTTTACCTTGGTACACAACAAGTTTTGAAACTGCTGGAACATTCCCAACAAATCATTTACATATGAGAATTCAAGCAATTCTAAAGAATTGGCGGTAGGCTCAGTTCAAGTAAATATTATACACCTTACATTCTGTTTATGTATTTAGCTGCTAGGAGGGTCACTGTAACCTCACTTCCAGAAATACCACCCATAATGTTATGAATCCAAGCTAGTCAAGGGGCAGAATGTTACAGAATCTGGTTCACTTATGAAAAAAAGCCCAATAACTTTAATTTAGCTTTACCAATTAGAACAAGATCCTAACGTGAGATATATCCCTGGTTTTCTTTCCTAGTAGCTTTAACTGCCCTTTTTTGGCCTTTCACTAAGCTGAATCTATTTCCCAATAAAAACTACCACTGGATAAAGGATCTAAACATCCTCATTTTACAACATAAATGTTTCAAGTTGGCAAAATGTTCCTTTTAAATCATGTTCTTAATTACTGGAGCCTTCCAATCTAGGGGGAGGGCAGTGGAGACAGGGACTAACATGGTCCTATAAAAACAAAATATTCCTATAAGTTATATATTCATTCAAGAAGGAAAAACTTCTCACTTTATGCAGTTGTAGATTTTGTTTTAGCCACTGTATCAGAAGAAAGTTTCAGTGTAGAAGTCTACAATCCAGATAAAAGGTTCTATGTTTCCCTACATTAAGTTTAGCTATTTCTTGTCCAGAATTATAACCACAGACATTGAAGTGTAGCTCTCAGATCTGAAAATGTCTTTATTTTTTTAGAAAATGGGTTTTAGGAAGGTTAAAAAGCAATACCAGAGGGCATAGGTGCAGAATTGGTTGTAGTCATTCAAAGCATCCAAGTCGGAATATGGTAATATAAATACCTGAAAAGCATCTCTTAAGTGTTTGAAACAAAATGTGTTACTCATTCCTAAATAATTTGAGCTTTATAGCATTTTCCGGGGAGGGGAGGGGGAGTGAGAGACAGTTAACATTTCTGAAACCCTGAAAACTTTTCCCTTGGTTAATTAAATTACATTGGAAGGTTTGCCTTTGATCAAATTCCTTCCTTTTTAAACACAGATAAAGTATTACATAGGTCCACTGTTAAAACAGACAATATGTTGCACATTAAATCTGGTATAATGTATTCCAACAAAGCTTAGAAAATAAAGGTGTTGAGGTGACTTTTGAGCTAAGTTTAATAATCATCTCCTCTGCTGACAACTTCTTTACATGTTGGACGCAACAGTATGGTATGTTCAAACTGTGCTGTATATGATCCTTTTATGTCACATAATGGTGGATATGGATCTACAATGCCCAAGTCACACAGATTCTTTAGCGCCATCAAGTATTTACTTTCTCCCAAGCGATCCAGCCATCTGCGGCAGAAGGCAAGAGTGCCAAAGTTTTCATTGATGACATTTAACAAGTGTTTTGTTCTTGGAAGCCTGGAAGGAGAAATTATAAGATTAATAGTTGGCTGAAAAGTTACCAACTCATAGATTTTCCCCATTAAAAAAATTCAAACCATATCTGGTTCTTTACTGGGTATTCAAGATTCAAAGAGCTTTTTTATTGCCTCTCTTAACAATCAAAAGTAGAGTGTATAATAGTCCCATTACCCAATTACAGATGCCAGCTGAACAGCAGACTAGCTGGAGGCCCTCTTATGTTTGTTTCTGTTTCTGTGTCCATGCATATGTGTGTTAAACTCCCAGTACATACCCATCTACAGAGTCCAGTGGGAAGGAATTTCTGTCAATCAGGATCAATGCTCTGCATTAGGTGTAAATCTATTCTTCAACTATCTACCCCACAAGGTAAAACAATATAAATAAAAATATAAAGTTTACCAATGGAAAAATACTAAGAATATAAACCTATAACGCTAGCAAAATAATCTCTGAAATTATTAGAAACTAGATCTGAAAGGCGTATCTGAAGCAAAAAAAAATATTTGCCTATTTCATTTCCATCTTAGTGAAAAGTTTAAAGAGGCCACTTTCTTTGCTACTTTACAAAAATCAACAGCACTTATTGCTAGGAGGTATAACTGTACATTCATGAATGTTTCACCTTGAAAGTTTGTCACATTTTTTTAAAATCCTGGGAAGTGAAACAACAGTTATATCAACATAAGTCTCTCACCTTATTGGCACATGTCCAACATCAAAATTTTTCATGTAATGAGAGCATTCCATATCATCATGAACCACACCTTTTCCTGTGCTACCAAAGGTTTCAATGGCATATACTTCTCCTTCCTTAAAAAATATAAAGGTCAAGGGGACAGAAGAAAAATTTTATAACTATGTATAACTACCATCTTAATTTCAGGGTGAAGCATTCCCTACCTCGTGTCAGAAGCAGCATGAAGAAAATCTCCTGGCATTCCTTATCCACCCTTCCTGCTCTATCACCTTAGCATTTTTTGTCTTTCTGTACTCCTTACTCCACCCCAATAAGGATATAGGGTTTACACAGGCAGGGACTTCTTTTGTTCACTGCTATAATTCCATTGCCTAGTAAAGAAACTGGTACATAGTAGATGCTCAATAAATACTCATTTTGTGTTGAATAATCAATCCTTTGACAGTCTCAACTTTCACAGCTGATAGAACACTGGTCTGACCAGATACAATTTGTATAATGGCAGTCCAATTCCGGCCATGGTGAGTAGGGATGACAAGTTTATTTTGTTCAACATACTATTTATTTTAAGCTGAATGACTACTAGTTTGGAGAAAAATCAAAATGTTTTCCACAAAAGAACAAGTGTTAATGGCAAACATACCTCCATTCTTGTTGCCTCTCCTCCTTTAACAATGGGCACTGTTTTCCCAGCATGTATCCTATATGGCCCAATTGAATGTCCATTTAGGTTACGGATTGGTTTCACTGTTATAATAAACAGGAAGTAAGTTATTCAGGGTCTCTAGAAACACAAACAGACCTCTTGGCTTTTTGGTACAGAGGTAGAGCACTTATTTAAAAACAAGATATGGCAATATTAGATAACTTCACTTAAGATAGTTAAATACAAACTGGAAATCTAATTCACTGAGTAGAATTTGAAAATATGTTTAATTCAAGGTTACTTGTTAAAAATTAGAAGTAAAAGGGGTAGAAGAGAAAGAATTATGGGATGATGATACAAATGGGGTCACGTAAGGAGGTTATTTTTAAGATAAAACATGATGCTCTGTAAGAAGAAGAGAGGTACACAAGAGGAACAGACAACAAAGATGAACCCTTTTTCACATACAATACTGTAATGTCAGCGAAAGCAAACATTTACGGGTGGACAGACAGGTGGAGAGGCTGAACAATTTGGTATGTCTGTGCAGGGGGGAGTGTGCCCATGACCATGTACAGGTTTGGCAGACCATGTTTCTACAAGTGTATTGCTATGTTCAATTCCCAGGCATATAGTAGAGCTGACCAGGGACAAGGTAGTCACTTCTTGGCCATAGCCAGCTACCCAGAGGGAGTGAGCAGTTGGACCTGTGGGCTTGGGATCATAGTGACGGGGGACAGCAAGCTCAATTGGCATAACATACTACATAAAACATTTTCCACATCCTACTTTGGTGAGTAGCAACTGGGATCTTAAAAACCTTCAAGCAGCTATCTAGATGCAACGATAGGTCTCTCCTCATCTAGAGCAAAGAAGAATGAAGAAAACCAAAGATTCATGGTAACAATTAGTCCAAACGACTGATATACTATGTGATCCTCAGCCTATACGACTATGAGACCAGAAGAACTGCCTGGCTACCACTGTCAACTACTGGGAGGGGGATCTATGTAGGAGATCCTAGATAGAGTGGGAAAACAATGTGGAATAAAACTCAAAATCATTTGGAAAAAAAAAAAAAAGGACCAGGTTTGCTGGTCTGATAAGAGCCTGATGGAACCACTGAGATTATGGCTCCTAGTTGCCCTGGAATTGAACCCACTCCTGTGGCTTCCAGCCAAACAAAAGACAGGCATATGAGCTGTAGATTTAAATTACGTAGCTACACTCCTTAGAGAAATCAATCATGGGAGAATAGAAGGGCTGTGTATGCACAGGGAGACAGCTCAGGGGGCAGGAGTGCATGGAAGGAAGGACACAGGGAAGAGGTAACTATGGGGAGGAAGTAGGAAGGGAGCTATTGCATTGTGGTAAATTGTAATTAATGCCATGAGACAAACTGTATGTGAACTGCTGTATGGAAAGTGAATTTGCTCGATAAATTTCCACCCAACTGACAATTAAAAAAAGAAAAAAAAAAAAGTTTTTTTTTTTAAAAAAAAAGACATGTAAAATGCCATAAACACAATGATTACAAACATGAAAAACATGTGTTTGTATGGTTATGGACCAAAAAGTAATGTGACAAGAGCTTCTGACAGAAAAATTGGGGAATGGGAAGGATAATGGTTGAATAACATGACAATAATTAATGCCACTGAGCTGTGTATGTAAAAATTACTGAAATGGCAAATGTTTTGTTACATATATATTTTTTCCAAACCACAAAAAAGGTTATATGAAAATGAGGATGCTGCATTGAAGTGGTAGGATTATGAAATATTATTATTGTACCAAATTTAATATAAATGTTTAAAAAAATCCAAACTACCAAATGTCCTGAGATAATGGTAGAACAAACAAACTGTGGTTTACTCATACAATGGAACATTATGCAACAATAAAAACGAAAATCTAGCTGTATATACAACTGGAATAAAATCTAAAGATAATATAAGCAAAAGGCGGCACAATTATATATACATCATCCAATTCCACTTATATAAAAGTTCAAAATCAAGAACTATCAAGCTATTGGTGAGGGATGCATAATTAGGTAGTGAAGACAAAGAAAAGCAAATGCAAATCATTTAATACTTCACTAGAGGAACTGTGCTGCAATTGGAAGGTGTATATGAGGTTCAAACTTTTCTGGAATGTTGGCAATATTCTATTTCTCACATAGTGAGGTTATATAGCTTTTACAATTGTTAAGCTGGTTTTTATATGGTGCACATTTTCAGTGTTAGTTATATTTCACAGTAAAAAGATAAAAAGTAGCCACTGCAGCATTATTCACAATTATCAAAATGTAGAAACAATCTAAATGTCTGGCAACAGATAAACAAATGTAGTATGTACATACAATGGAATATTTAAAAAAAAAAACAAAAACACCAGAATCGTATCAAGTAGATTCGGACTCATAGTGACCCTCTAGGACAGAGTAGAACTGCCCCATAGGGTTTCCAAGGCTGTCCATCTTTATGCAAGCAGACTTTCATTGTTCTCCTGATGAGCAGCTGGTGGGTTCAAACCACTGATCTTTTTGTTAGCAACTGAATGCTTTAACCAATATACTACCAGAGCTCCTTAATGGTGCATTACTCAGCCATTAGTAGAAAGAAAGTTCTAGTAGTACATGCTATGACATGGATAAACCTGGAAAACATCAAGCTGAGTGAAATCAGTCCATCACAAAAGAAGAAATACTGCATGATTACATTTCAATGAAATATCTAGAAAAGGCAAGTTTGTTAGTACCTAGAAGGGAAGGAGAAAAGGGGAGTCACTACTTAAGGGGCATTAAGTTTCTGTTAAGGATGACTGTCCAAAAAGTCATCCTAAAAAAACTTTGGAAACTGATCACTGTGTTGGTTGAACAGCATGATAATTTAATTATCATCACTGAATTATACATATACAACATGTTGAAATGGCAAAAGTATTGTTATATATATTTTACCAGTATTTTTATCCTCAGTAAAAGCTACCTTTCTTAGGACAGAATGAGGAACAAAATTTTGCCCCCCCCTCCCCCAAATCTGTAACAATGAAGCAAAGACAAGTATACTACAAATTTAGGTAGTAGTAACTTTCTATTACATCTTGACCAAGGAAGAGAAGAAAATCAGTCTCTTAATGGCCAGTTCTTAATGGTTTTGTAATTCTTTTAATGGCTTTGCAATTGTTCCTGGAAGCTCAGCCCAGAGTTCATTTCTTCAATTTTCCAACATCATTAATTTGTCTAAACCTTTTCTGCTTAAAATAGTGAAAATCAATTCTGTCTTCAACTAAGAACCCTGATCAAAAAATAACTTCTTTCAAAGTACAGTGGTGCAATAATAGAACCTAAAAAATGTTGCATTAGCTTAATGGAGGTGGTTAGAAGGCAGATTATTAAAGATTCCAATACTGCAATCTGGAACTGTTATGTGGTGACTAAACATTAAGTCAAATTGTTCCTTCACATACTGATTGTGGACTCATCAGCCTTAGCAGCTGGGAGCTGCATGAGTCAGGAGAAGCCTCCAGCTTACTCCAGTGGGCCTGAAAAGCAATGTTAAAGCCCAAGGTCGAGAGACCTCCACTCAGTTCACAGAGCCAGCATTCTGAACTTGGACTTTTAGCATCCAAACTGAAAAGAATAAATTTCTGTTTGTTGAAGCCATCTACTTGTGGTATTTTCGTTATAGTAGCTCTAGAGAACCAAGACAGAAGAATTTCATCCCACCATATACCTTGCAAGGCAGACTACATGTCAACTAAAGCTGTAGAATTAGGAAAAATATAGGACATTTGTATATGTTGGCTGTTACTGAAATTTATAAGAATTCCAGCAAATTCTCATAAAAGAGATGCCATCTCAGTTTAGAGCTAGGCAGTGCTCAGTTTGCAGTTTTCAATCCAAGCAATCAAGATTCATTAAATTTGGACCCTCCCAAGTCAAATGCTTGTGTATCTAAAAGTAGTTTTTAAGTGACAGAACCACAGCCTGGTTATAGGGGTGGAGGTGACTTCATGTTTCTCTAATAAGCACCTTCTGTAAAGGGCTCTCTATTAAACAATGGGAGCTAGCATAGATAGCAAAGTCAAAATTAAAAATGTTGCTTTCTTTATGTCATATACTCAAAAAAAAATCACCAATAATGTCAAGTCTGGAGGATAGGGAGAAGATGGGACTCAAGGATGGTCTGCAAAAGCTTGTGTGTCTATTAAACCCAACCTATGAACTGGTACCAGAAGGAAATGGGCTGTTAAAGTTGTATAGTCTCCAAGGGCACATTCTCCAGTGCCCATCAAAGAACAAAGCCAAAGCCACAATGGAGTAGGAAGTTTCTTTACAGAAGCAACAATCAGGTGGGCTAAACAAGGAACTTATTACCACTATTTCTAACACTTAAGAGTTGATCATTGTTATAGGGCAATGATGCTGCACCATATTTTCTACTTCTTTGAAAGGGGCTTCTAATTGCTTATTTTATTCCTTGTTCATCATTATATATTGGGTTTGTTAGAGACATATACCTTTATCTTTACAGGTTTCTGGACCAAAAGAAGTAACAGCTATAATTTTAAAACAAGCCCAAACATCTCCCAAAAAACAAACCAAACCAAACTCATTGCCATCGAGTCAATTCCAACTCAAACCGACCATCACTGGGTTTCCAAGGTAGACAGTCTTCCTACTACAGAGTGGCTGATGGGTTTGAACTGCCAGCCTTCTGGTTAACAGTCAAATGCCTTAGGCACTATGCCACCAGAGCTCCTTAAACATCTCCAGAGATACTGAACTATCCAATAACTTAAAATTAAGATCCAATAACTTAAAAACCACTGGACTAGATGTAGTACTTTCAGATTGTCTCTCTTGGAGAATATGTTCTATATAAAGGAAGAGTTCGTATGAATGTTCAAGCAGTCAAAATGAATGTTTGGGCAAGCTATAGTAGAGACCACTAGTTGCCAACGCCAACACCTAATTATCTTGTTCCTCTTTATATAAAGAGCCCTGGTTTTTAGCTAGGTACCCTGCCATCTAATACTGTTAAAATTAAAATTACACTTTCTTCTTTTTTTGCAGCTTATGTGACTACACAACTAAGTTCTAGACAGTAAGAAGCAAGCTGAAGACCTATTAAGAATAAGACTTCCAGGAGGCTACTTAAAAGGTCCCTTTTGGTCCTCCTGCCTTTCCTCCTTCAGGTCTACAAGGCACCAATAACCATCCTGGACCATGAGGTGATCCTGGGAATGGAAGCTATGCACTAGAACAAAAGTATACATATAGCAAAAGAATACAAGCCTGGGACAATGATGGCCACTACAGAGGTGTTAAACAATCCTGGATTATCTACCTCTAGGTAATCCCCCAATAGAAAGGATATAGGGGAATGAGACTATAAAAAGTGGAATGGATACTAAAATAGCCTAAACAGGACTGAGGAATTATTAAATTACACAGAACCCATCATCAGGTACCTGCAGAGGGTAGTAGAGAATAATGCAAGAGTCCTTAAGACCTTGGAGAAGGGAATTTTCCTTCTTCCTTTATGTAACGTGGAGAGGAAAGTAGGAAAAGTGTATCTAGGTATGAGATTGTTTAGATCTAAGGTAAAGTGAATGCTCTGGATACCCAACCCAGAAAGAATAGAATATACTCTGTTCATTTGGAGCACAAAATATAGACATTAGAAGATGTTCTAGTCCCATAAATTCCTCAAAATAACTTGCTACTTATTCTCTTGATCTCAGTTTCCTCTAGGGTTACAATACTGCTTCTGGGAAGCTCATATTACTAAGTCTGAGGTATTAACAGAAACAAGAATATAAAACAGGTACTAATTAAAAAAAAAAAAA